GAATCGATCGAGAGCTTAAAGAAAGACTCGAGAGCTAAATAAAACAGGTATCTAAATCGAATATTCAATTCGTCAGTTTCTGTAAAATTTAAGACTCACTTGCACAGTAGCATCGGGCCGTTTCTTCGTGATTTGCCAAATAAACAGCACAGTCATAGTCAAGAATCCTAAAGCCACAAGTTCAAGTGCCAGTTTGAGCCGCGCTATCGTCTTCGCCTCCCTGCTTGAGCTGACATCGGGATAAGAAACAACACACTGTGATGTACTAGTCGCCGATGAATCGTCGCTTGAAACCGTCATCAAGCTCGCGTTAAGATCGGTTTTTCGGATTTTCCCACTGCTTCTGAAAGAAAAATCATCGTCGTGTAATCATTCAGTGAAATGAAACTTATAGCAGTCGCGCCGACTTTCGTTTTAAATCAAAAAAGTATCGCAAAGAAACTCGAAACTCACTCAATATACGACCCCATTGTTCAATAATGAACGAGCTGACTCCTCAACATAACCGTGCAGTACAACATAAATAGGAACAGCACAGACTTTGCGTCAAGCACGTACGAAAATTTGCATGACAACTCGTCACACTGCGCGAAGTCAGACGCATGCTTTGGAGTGTGACAATAACAATGACTGAGACATAATCGATTCAAACAAGAGCGACCCCGAACAATGACAGAAATGAAGGGTCATTCATGTGGGTAAATCAACAACAAATAGCTCTTAATTCAACGATCGCGATATCTTTGCAGGACTATGTGCTGCTGAATTTTCGAGGCGGATATGCTATGTCTGTAATTGAGAGAGCATTAAGGGACTAATTGTAAAAAAAGAGCTACTCTGGTGAATTCACTAGAGCGCAAAGATGAGTGTCACGTCCAAAGACCCAAAGGAAAAATCATCCTTTCCTTCCTATCGGAGAATCCCGCAGGGCAGCGGTTTACTACACTATTATTCACGGTCTATGCAAATAGTGTATTCAAACCTTGTCGGTTTTAATCTCTTTAATAATTGATAAACGTCATTCTTAGGGCTTAACAGGGTGAAAGCAGTTCGGTACCAACAGATAAAAGCAAGTTTTTTGATTACCACAAAAACGGAAACATAAAAACCTCGAACAGAGGAAAAATACCGCAGATACAATGCAGGCTCAGATACCATCAGCTGGATTTTCGGGAATTAATGAAAGCTCTACGACTTGAGTGTCAATACCTACATGGATTTTGATTCATGCTAAAGGGCGAACGCGAAGGGAAAAATTAACCTTTGCTTTCGGTTCTTTAATTTTAATCCTTGAGTGGATAGAATTCAAAATATTTTCCCCTAACCACAAAACGTCCAAATATTTAACTTTTTTTCTTAGATGAAAAAACAGCCGAAAGAGCTAAAGCAAGTTTTGCCGTTTGCCGTTTGTAAACTTGGTTCTAAGCTCCTCTCTGCCCCTGAGAAGTTTGAGACGAGTCGGGGAGTAGTTTGCCGTAGGACACGAATAGACCACTACCCAGCTTGCGTTTCTCGACACCTCAAACTTATAGGCGAGTGAAGAAACGCTCTTACTGAAGCGTTAATGATAATAATAAAAAAAAACAGTAAGATTTCCACGTTCTCCATCCTTTTTATTTCGAGCTACATGGAAGCTGAAGAGAACGAGCCATTTCTTCATGCGTAGAACATGATATTTCATCTTTACGTCCAACAGACTTCCTTTCAAACAAGTAACAAAGTGCGACCTTGCTATGCCGAATTTTTTCTGGAGATAAAAAATGAGCATGAAAAGGATAGATTGCTGAAACATTTCAAAAAATCCTGAGAAGAATTGCAAGCCCCTTCCTTAAGCTGTTATCTCCTCTCCCCCGTCTCTCCTCATATGCTGCAAATCTTAAGGTCATAAGCCTTTCCATGAGAAGACTCGAAACCAAATTACGTAGTTCGGTTTGTTTGAAATGAAGAGAAATTAGCGTCGCTGTAGTTCTTGGTAATGATGGCATGCAAATCTTTCTTAGCGTTATTTCAAATAAATATCCTACAATCCTTGTAGTTTTTCTAATGCGTCGTTCTTGCTTTCCGGCTAAATGCCGGCAAACAATTTTCGGGTGAACCCAGCATTTACGCGTAGAGGTACTGTATCCAAAGCCGTCGGGGAATGCGAATGTTTTCTATTGATCAAACTTCCCATTCTCCGGTTTATAAACACAAGACCGAAACGAACATTACAGAAAGAAGTCTTTATCATACCTTTTATGGTTCAATAATTATGTATAATGATAATTGAGTGTTGTCTGTCAAACACTGGTCTATTTTGACATTTTTCAATGTCAATAACAGTGCTAACACGTTCTAAACAAACAAATCAGGCTCAGTTAGAAGTGTGCGACTCGTATCCTTCAAAGAGGAGATACATGGTTTAGCCACCAAAGCTACACTTCAAAAACAAATACATTTTCTTTAATGACTAAATAATTTCTAGAAAAAGATTAGACATGGTGAAAGTAACACTGTCTAATAGTTAAGACTTATTTCTCGAATTGCCTGGATATCGTGGCTTTTAATGAACAAGAAACGGTTAAGATATATAAACAAAATGAATGAAGTTATGATCACAGACTCGAACACAGACTCCGAACTTCCAGTTGATGTTGTCGCCAATCAGCACCATAATATTTCCATGTCTTAGGTATAGATGCCATTCAAGTTAATCCTTAGAAAGTAACGAAAACTTTGGGAACTTATCGTTAAGATTCCCTTCTAATACAAGTCATAGCAACATCAATCGCAACGATTTGAATAATTTCTTAGCGATCTATAATTGAGACACGAGCAATGTTGATCCAAGTTGAAAGATGGGTAACCTTGGACGGCCTAATTTCCGAGACTCGACTACATCACATGTATTTCCCATAAGGAAGTGAAAATTTTGCTGATTTATCTATGCAACCATAGAGCTCGAATACTTTGAAAGAGGAACAACACTCGTTTGAATAAGAATTCGTAATATTTAAGAGATGAAAACCACTCATTGCACTTCTACTGAAATTCTGTAACAATTACAGATCAAGTTAAACAAGCTCTTACAAGACAAAGTGACAATCGTGGGTTTCCTTTTCAATCGATCAAACTCGTTAAATCAACATCAAACTGACTTTCAAAATGAAAGCTCCCTGTATGCAAATTCATCAGTTCGACTTACAAAGCAGTTATATCTAAAATCAAGGAAGAAGAAGACATAGTGCATTTAAATAATGATCAACAAGAACATACCTGTTTGATCACGCTACGTGGCTCTTACTGCACGATCACGGCACGAGTTTATCCCCAGAAACACGCTAGAAAACCTTGTTTAACGCACGAGAGGGGGTTAGCATAGAACGAAATTGCTCATGCATATTGCTGTTGATTTAAACCGCACGGCCATAATGACGTCAATGTAATCCTCGTCACGAGATATTTCTGAATTGATTTTGCAGGAATTTTTCAAGTGTGATACGAGCAAAGTAAAGCTCTCGATTAACTTAATGTACTGGTAATTCTACAAATCCGAAATTCTTCATTGATCGCTTTGTAAACTTGTACAAACTCGGCTCAGCAACCACGCCTTTGGCGTCTCTAACGAATACCAATATACTCCAAGACAACAAAAAACTATTTTCTAAGAGTCACCGAGTTCAACCCAATCTATACACCACGTTATGTAAGGTACTGAAATTCTTATTCTCAGTCCTAGGTATCAGTTTAAACCTATCACCCCCAAGATCTCATAAGCAATTCTCCTTACTGTCTTTCCTACGGTTCTTGAGGCTAGTTCGGAGAAGTTGGCAATGAATCAAGTAATAATTCCCTCATTTATATTTTTTCTTTATTCTCATCACTTGTCTGCTTGATATTGCATCGATATTGTGAGGAGAAATTCAACCTTGATCACTAATGGGATCAATGGGGTCAAGTAATGTAATGGGGTTCGTTTCTCTTTTTGCTGATCGATCAAATGTTAAATTCTCCTCAAAAGCTAATACGCTATCCAACATAAAGGTAGCAAGAATTTAAAAAATTATCAAATAGCGAATATCGACTGAATTAATCGCCAGATTCTCAGGACAGGACTAGCCAACAGGAAGAACTTCGTGTAGTTATCTTGCAAATTAGCTTTCAGATCTGAAGAGCCAGTGTTAATATTTGTTATTCATTGCTGCCGATTACTGCCTCTCTAGATTGACTTTCCTACTCGTCTTTTAAGTTCTTTTACAGTTTAAGGTGATGTGTGCGATTTTTTTCTAAGAAAAAAATTTGCTCGTAAGCGAGGATTGCGTGACCCTACGTCTCTGAGAGATCAATTTGTAGGAATTAAAAGGAAACCATTGACAGGAATGACTCAATATAGTGAAAGATGCATTAAAAACAGTGCGTGCTTGAACTTAAGAGTAGCATTTGATCGCGTAGTCTAACCCTCCCTGTGAAAAGAGTCCTGAAAGGACTGTTGCCAGTGGCGGTCGGGTGAGCATAATTCCACATTTGAGTAAAGTGATATGTCTCTTGCATTTCAGTGTTATTCCCTTCAGCTGAATGTCCCCGTTCCTTCTTTTCTTTAATTTTTGTTCACTTTTTTTTTTCTTCGCTTTCCCTGTTTCTTTCCTTGTTGCATTTAGAGCGGATGGAGGAAATTTGTAAGTAACTGAAATTAAGGCCATATGTCCGAGGCATTAGATCTAAAAATAGCTTTCGTCTAGCACTCACGCACAAACCTTCGAAGACATCGTATTTAGTAGTAGTTTGATACGAATCATTCTAATACAAAACAAATATGCTTCGAGATGGAACTTCGCCGATTAATCGAAAAGCAGCCAATTGAATATGTATAACATCCGTGTTGTAAAAAGATGTTTGAAATATCTGACTACAGATTCCATCTGGCGGCCAAGTTACAATTAAACCACAACAGAACCTTCAAGGTCGATTTCGAGTTTTCATCGGTCTCTTTGATACATGCAGATTTGCCTTAAATAACTCACCTTTAAAAGGAAAGCACTTCTTTGTCTACATTCACAATCTGGTCAAAGCTGCCGCCCAGATAATTAAACGAGTACCAAACCACGTTTATCTCAGTTAATGCCAATCTGTTGCGTCGTAACCTGAGGAAAATTAAAAGATTTATCAGTTAGCACACTCAAATTAAGAGTACTCCGACAGATCCCAGATAGTGATCTCCACTTAAATGGTTTTTGTACCGCAAAAGGCCTTTTCTACAGACCTCTGACGGCAATAACAGTATTGCTACGTCGGAATCTCTCTTGTCTCTACACGCGACGCCCGTTGTCACCAGTTGTTGAAGGATGTTGCTTCAGTTTGGTATTCATTAACCACAACATTGAATAAATACGGTAATTGCTTTGGTCAATTGTTAACACTAAGTAAAATATTAAAATGGATCGTTTGATCCTCAGAGTCGCTCGCTCACCGAGAAAATTGACCAACAAACAAGTCATAATTTCAACGTTTTTAGAAAAGGTTATTTTTTCACTTACCGTGGTACGTTAATATTAGTAAATTTAATCGTGGGAAGTGGAGCCGAGGAAAAAGCATATCATAGAACTGGCTTGGGAAAATATTTAGCCTCATTGTTATTTCACTGCATGTACGTGATCGTTTTAGAAGTGAAAAAAAAAAAAAAAAAAGTACATCCCGAAATAGTATGTAATAGTTTATTATCATTTAAATTATTATAATTGTTGTTATTGTCTGGGGTACCTCTATACTTAGCCACATTCACGAATCGCGGGATTATAGACACACTGTAGACTGTCAGTGTTACAAATAGGTTTGCTTGTGCAAACGGCAAAGAGTGGTTAAGTAAAGGCATGCCTTTGGCTGGTTGAGCAATGAGTCCCCAACAGTTAACTGTTGTTCAACAGAAGCTCATCATTAAATGAGCATCCCTTTGGTACTTTTTTTTTCCATTTTCACAATAAGATTTTGGGTGGATTAATTAATTAATTAGATGGAAAAGGAGTTAACAGCCAGAGAGCATAATATTAAACTCTTTTCGAAACCAAAAAAGCTGTACATGTTACCCTCGAAATGCTACTTTAATGTTCAAATATTTTAAGAACAGGATGGACACGATAACTGTTGTCTTTCAGGAAACCATCATAAATTTAAATCGATAAAAAAGAGGTTATTGGACGCATAATTTAATAAAATGTATAACCTATTTTGGTAAATACTCTGATAAGACGATGGAAGCCGATAAATTGACTCCAAGCCAGCTCCATCGAATTATTCGGATATTAAACGTGATCTCTGATGAAACGTCAGTGCTCAACGTTGAAGCTCCGCATCAAAACACTACTCCCTTACACTACATAAACACTACCGTATTCCAATTGGTTTTCTTTTCATAGATCTTTCAGATTCCACAATAAAAAAATTCCCAGCGTGTTGCACTCTGAGGCCACAACGACAGAAATGTTGGAAAAATGTTGACAATCTGGTACACTCCTCTGTTCAGTTAACGTTGAAGAGCCAAACTTCACCAGAATCCGTCAATTTCAGATATCCTTTCTAGAGATGTTACAGAAGTAGTGTGTGGTAAAGATCATATTTCGAAATCTCACCGGCTTCTAATTATAAACTCTTTCAAAGACTGGCACGTAGCGCTTTACTTTCCCCTGCTGTTCTTAACAAGCTAAATGGCACTTCGCAGTAGAGTGAGACAAATTTAGTCACGTTCTGCGTTTTTCTTGAGGAGCTTCTGCGAGAAAGTATTAACTAGCCAGGAATGGGTAAAACCCAGGGAAAACACGTTCAATAACCAAAAAAAAATGAGGAACAAGTGTAGGTAACAGTAGCGAGTATTAACACTTTAACTCCCAAGATCTCATTTGTAATTCTCCTTACTGTCAGCCATATGGTTCTTGTGATGTTAATTTGGAGAATTAGGTATTGCATCAACTAATATTCCCCTAATCAAGATTTTTCTTATTTTCATCACTTTTCTGCGTGATATTGTATTGACACTGTAAGCAGAAATTCTGTTTTGGTCACACGTAGGATAAAGGGTTAAAGCTATCGAGCAAGTTTTGCAGTTGTGTTCTGAACATTAAGATCATGGTAATTATGCAGATAGTAAGTGTATTTAAGTAACAGAAAAAAGACCAGACTGCGCAAGAATACCTGATTTCCCAACTGAAATTTCCTACAGTGTATTCGGTTCGACGATGGAATAACCATTTTAAGGCTCTCAACCCCCAAGAGTGACTTTCATCTAATTTCTCCTTCCAAAATCACCCCTGAATCAAACATTACGTTCACGAGAATAAAGAAAATGATAACAAACTTGAAAAGCTCTCGACTTTTAAACAAATACTCTTTGTCAGCTCCTTAGGAAATGTATACAGAACAGTATGGAGAATATGCATACTGATGTTAGAGTAAGACAAGGGAAAGATCAAAACATAGAAGTTGTGTCGTGATCCGGTTTATGATTTCTTGAATACTGCTGATACTCGCGGTAACTTCTCAGAACATACGTGCCACAGAGATCGTGGCCGAGGTAGAATCCCGAAAAAGTAGACGCTTTTTTGAAATAGTGCTAGTTAGAGGAGCGGTTAAAAGCGTCTGTCAACAATTAAATCCGTAAGAGCCCCACGTCACGAAGGAACAGCAAGACACGCTTAGACGCCTGAAATGAACTTTCCACAAGATTCTCCCAAAGGTGAAAGGGCGTCTCCTCTGATAATGACGGACCTTGCCTTCTCCGGGAAACACTAAGATGCTAGTCAAACGCCTCTGTTTTTGTATAAATACAGGAACAACAACAACTTTCAACGTTGAGAGCCATAGATTACAAATGAACTTTTAGCATCGTGAGCGCTAGGTAATAAGCGTTCCCCTTATACTTGTGGTGGTGACGGTCTGCGTATACTGGTAGTTATGACGGGTCTTAACGGTCAAGGAGTTTCTAACTTGCCATGAGACGTCCTCCTTTTATTCGCTTCCTTTCGTGGAAAGAGAAGGAAAAGGACAGGCTGCAACAGGCTGACATAAAACTGAGTTTCGAGCGTGAGCCCTTCTTTCATCGCTGACGAAGGGCTCACGCTCGAAACGTCATGATCAGTTTTTAAACTCTTTACCGTGGCCAATTTACGTTATCAACTCATTTGATAGCACTTAATTACCCAGTTATACTCTCCCACCGACGCAGCACCACAGTTTCTTAAAAAACCTACCTCCTTTATTCTTGTAACATAACTCTGACTTTTGGAAAGCCATGTAGATTTAATTTCTGTGAACTGTCAGAGAAAAAAAATGGAGAATTTATCACCCGGAATGAAAGTGACGTTTTCTGAGAACAAGTTTGGAAGCTCGTGCGAATAGAAATCAAATTACTACAAATAAAAGGAACTTTTCACGCAGAAATGGGAGAAAAGTGGAAAAAAAAATTGAAGACTCAGTTAAAGTATGGAATTAAAAATTCTGGCTTCAGAGATCTCTTATTTAAAACACTATCCCAGCCGGCGTCGTTATGAAGACCAAAATTCAAAAATAATTCCATACATAACAAATTGAAATTACTTATTTCGACTTTTTTATTCTCTTGGTATTTATTTTTGGCTTCCCAAGCTTTGTTGATGTATAAACTTGCAGCATTTCACGAAAATTCTCAACATTCGCGAATTGAAAATCATTTCCATCCTGGAATGCTTTGTTCACTGAAGTTAACGATTGAAAGCCTAAAATTCTGAAATTTCCGCTGACAAAATCTTTATAGTTTTGAAATTCATAATACATTCAGCATAGAATTCGAAAGTCGTCACCTCACATCTTATTCAAACAGGGTATTTTACTTTAAAAGCGACTTGAGATGCAAAACTAGCCACTTCCCAATAATTTATTTCTACAAAATTTCATATTTATCTCGCTTAGGGTAGTTAGCTGAATGAATTCACTCTCTACGGACAGTCTGCAGCAAATATTCTCGAATTATGGACGTGGACCGAAACCGAAACATATATTTGTCTAAATTTACGGCTCTCTAAACGTTCACATACGCTATCCATTTTGCCAAACCTTTTGATAGGATCTGTAGAATATTAACGCTTCTATAAAATAGCTTTCAGCTGAGTTTACTTAAGCACACCTTCATATTAGGAATAATTTAATTCATCCATTCTAGTTTCTTTCTTTAAACTACTAAAACCTACTGGGAAGTCTTTTGTTTATCTATGCATGTATAGGAAGGACTGTATTCGACATTGATTCATCTTCACCGTTGAAAGCGATTTTTAGATGAAAAATTTTCGCTTCTACCCTCAAAATCGAGGAGAAACATATCAATAAATACGTTATTTCTAACATAAGGAACCCGGGATATACGGGAATAATATTTTTAAGACAGTCTACAAGTAAATTATTTTATTTTTAAATACCTGCTTGGACCGGCCGTCGAGCCATTTTGTTCGTTAGCACATGCTTCTTCAGACATCCCGTGGTGATTTTAATCTGACTTATTTCTTTGTGAGGCGTAATTTGTTCAATTGTAAGACGCTTATCCGCTTGATAAATATTTACTTAGAAGGAAGAGCGACTATAAATTGAAGCAGAAGCACGTTAGAATGTAGTGTCGTAATAATTCCACTTTAACACGCGAAAATTCGTTATTCGGCGAGCTCGATTATGCAAATTATATTTGCACCTGACACGACTTGCATAAATTTATCAGATAATTCCAAATGGTTACTTGTCATACTAACGTCAACTTGTTGAAACCTCATCGTCATCAAGGTCTAGGAAAACAAAACAAAACAAAAATAATTCCACACAACCGAATATTATCTGTAGTAAATTACAAAATAAACTTCACTTTTCTTTAGGTTTACTGGTGCAATGAACGACAGGCTTCTGACCAATCAGGGCGCCCGTAGTATCTGTAGAAAATCTCTTTCGTTTTTATGATACAATTTTTTTTCTCTTCCTCTTCCCACCCCCCTCCCCCCCCCCCCTTTGCACTATCTTTGTATTCACGCGCGATGCGCGTGATTTCACAAACTAGCCAATCACGTTTAAGAACTCTAACCTTATTATTAGAAAACTGACGTGGATTTTAGGTAGTTTCGAAGTCTTTTTATTGTCGCGAAATGTTGCGGTTCATTTACCAAGTTTAATACATATTTTCCGCGGAGTTTGGACTTCAGCCTCTTGTTACGTAATTGGATTTTTTTTACAGTATCTCAGTTGATAAATAAATGAAGAATTTCCCCCAGCATTTCGTCATGTTTTTCTGATAATTGGTTGCTGATTTTAATGAGATTTCGAAATATTCCAATTAAAAAATATCTTAATCCAACAAAATCCGACACATATTTTTCAAGCTGAGCACGGTTGGAAAAGACGTAACACAGCTCACCAAAAAATCATGAGGATGTTTAAACTCTTTACCAGGGTTTTCTCCCTTCGATCTCCGACCCGGGATGATTGGGGTGTGATCCAGGAAACATGGTCTATGGTCATTTTGTGACGTTCGAGGAATGAAGATTTTGCAAGACAAGTCAGGTATCAGGAAGAACAAAAATTTATTTATTATCAGTTTCATTGAAATAAAATCTGGCCCAGCGATTTACCATGCTTTGAATGTAACGTAAATAAAACGAATGTTGTTAAACAACTGTACATCTAAATTAGTCTTTCTTTTTTAAAGAAAACAGTTTGAAGACAGGAGAATGCTTAGTTGCTGTGAAATGAAAAGGCGCAACTTCGAGATAACTTTTTGAAATTCATAACTTTTTTTCTTAATAATCGGTAGGCTCTTTAATTTTTTTGGGCTTTCCATACTTTCCGAGATAACAATTCAATTAATATTCGACGCTAAAATATACAGATCTTTTTTCTTAAATTCCTGTAAGCATTTTTTTTAAAGCAGAATATTACTTTACCACACAAGTGCAACAGTTTTTACCAAGAAGAAAGTGTGAATGAAAATAAATACTGAGGATATGCATGTTACCAATGAAAGCTTTGGAGGTGATACAGAAAAGGTAAAGTAAAAAATTCGGCAACAAGATGCTGCTCAAATTGTCAACTTTCCTTCCCTGCAACAATGTTTATCTACTCTTTTAAAACTCTGGTAGAGAGAAATTTTTGGACTGTCTTAATCCTCTAATGATCTCCATAGCTCAAGTTTGTAAGAACTAAACTCTAGGTAGTAGTTAGCTGTAGATGTATGTCATAGTCTAAGCATACATGGCTCCATTTTGTGTCAACTCCATAAACATTTACTCTCTACATTCCTGGCTTGAACTAAAGATCTAGTTTTACCAGCACATCCAGATAGTAACTGTATACTTCAAGATAATAATAAAAATTTGACTCTGATCCAGCATTCTCCCATATTTTAAGTAAGACAGGTAAAGGAAATTTCCAGGTAGAGCATTCGTTTTAACTGTTGAATTTTCAAGAATTCCTTGCACTTTTAGAAATTTTAGTAGGTAATAAGGTACTACAGGTGGTAAATTTCCCAGTTACCTCTTGAAAAGGAGAACACTGCTAATCACTGTAAAGGTTCAAAGCTATTAAATTTGACTCGTGGATTCTTATGATCCATGGCTTTCACAATTTATACTTGGCAGTAAACCAAACAAATAAAACAACACAGACCTTACAATAAAAACACAGAAACAAAGTTTTACATGCATAAAAAGTTACATGAAAAGAGAAAAAATAAATCAATCCAAAAAACACAATATTTTTCGCATCAGCTTGTCTTGTTGACAAGTGAATTCTCAATTTCATTTATAATGAGGAACGATAGGCCCCAGAGTAAAACAAAAATCTTAAAAAAATCTTTTAGATAAATAAATTAACCCCAGCCCATTTTGTGAAATTGGTCTTTGTAAAATACAATAACATTCAAAAGCTGTAACAAATCTTGACCAGTATGACTACATGAACTGCGAATTTGAGCGCGTTAAGGCAAACCCCATTCAAATGCACAATATATACAAATAGCAAATTTTTTTAAATAATTAGTGTACAATCTTTGTAAGCAGCATCAGTGACTCTTGGTTGCCCACATTATATCATACTCTTTTCAATAGTCTGTCCTTTTTCAAATAAATTATCTCATCTCTTCAATACACATAGTAGAAGTTTGATGCACCAGGATTAAGATAGCTCTGCATATGGCGTGACTGTTCCACTGCTGCTGTCACCCGTTTATTAAAATCACCATGAAGAACATCTCCGCCTCGTGGAACTCTATAGAGGAACCCCTCCACACCAAGCATACACAGGCCTTTCCCATTCATCAAGAACTTATCTGCTGTTATATCCCTTATGCTGTATCTCTCTGTTGCCCATTTCAGCCATTCCATCACTTCCCATTTATTCCACATTCTTGGATCTAAATGAGATAATAAGAGAATAAGTAACCCTTTACACCATAACATCAGAATGCATATTCTCCAAACTGCTGTTAATACATTTCTTAAGGTGCTGACAAAGAGAATTTGTAAAACAATCCAGAGCTTCTTAAGTCAGTGGTCATTACTTTTAGTTTGTGACCTTAATGCTTGATTCAGGGGTGATATTGTCAAGGGAAATTAAAATCTAGTCACTTTTAGGCACCAAAGGGTTAACATCTGGTCCCAAGAAAGACAGTCTGCCTTTATTCAAAAAAACTTTCTAGTTTTTACTAGAATCTATCTTTATCAAGGAAAGAATCACTAAAAAATTGAGGCAGAACTGATCACACTCTTTTCCTGAACATTGTATATGTCTGTATACATACAAAATGTTATCCTTTGTTGAATTGCTCTTGATACACCCCCCACCCCCAAAAAAGTAATAATAATATATAATAATAATAATAATAATTTCAAAGCCATCACATTTGTATGTTCAGTACTGAAATACTCTCCCCTAATATTAAGCTGAATGGGTTAGTGATAAAACAAGCACAAGCCTGGAATCTGATATTGCAAATTAATTCATAACTTAATTAAAATACTACTTTTCCTTAGACCTACTAATTGTAATCAAATAAAGACAAGAGTAAAGAGATCAGAAAAAAATATCAATAAAAACTGTGTACAAAGAGGTTTCAGCACAGAAATCTAAATCAATGTTGCCATTACTAGATAATTTTACACAATCTTCACACACGATATTATCACCCACACCTAATGATTTGTATACATGTAAATGTGTAACAATAACCAGTTTTTCTGCATTTAGCAAAATAATGCAAAATGTTTTTGTGTTTTGCGACGGTTGAGGAATCATTCATATTAAAAAGGATTTCTTTAATTTTCTTCCTTACCGGATGGCACTCTGGGCTGTTCAAAGTTAAACACATTATCTTCATCATCAATATCTGGTACGACACAATCTTCAGATGTTGATGTGCTACCTTTCTTTCTTGTTGGAGACGGAATGTCTGGGGAAAAAGACATTGTGAAATCAGCAGTGAACACTGGCAGAAGCAACAATATTGTTTTAAACATTTACACACCTACTGCTGTAATGTCTCCTTACAGTACACTGCTGAATCATTTATTAAGATCATGAAAATATATGAAATGACCCCCAACCTAAGAAGCTTTGATCACTGAATGAATTCCCCTGTCAGTACCAAATGAAATGTGTAGAGAAGAGTATGAAGGATATGGATACTGATATTAGGGTGGAAAGGGTGAAACTTAAGTAGGAGCATTAAATATCTATCAAAATTATCAAACACAAGCATTCAGACAAGGGATCTTTGCATTAAGCCCAAAAAGGTTTATTGAGAGCTTGTCCCCCATAGGAAACATTTTAAGTAAATTAGTTATTGTTTACAAAAAAAAGTTGAATGAGATTGATGGACACTATGCTTTTAACATATCAGTCTCACAATTACACTAAGAGAAAAGAGTACACCCAGAGGTTTTGCCTGTCCACCTGCTAGAGCTTTGAGAAGAAACTAATTCAGTGAATAGGATAGTTTAGTATCATGAACTGAGTTGATCACATAAACTGGCCACCATAAAGAATTTCTAAGCTGACATTTTAAACCTAAGCCCTTTGTCAGAGCAAATGATAACTTACTGCACAGTCTTGTACATTAATAAAAGAGCAAAGTTTTCAGTTCAAAGTGATGCCTTACCACAACAGTAACTACTCAGGTTTTTCAATGTGAAACTTCTGGCTCAAATCTAACTTTAGCTTTATTGTGATAAAAACTGAATGACACATAAATGCCTTGAAACAATTCCTTTTTAACTATCTTGTAACAAAATTACATTTTGAGGAGGGAGAGGTTAGGGAGAAGACGTCCCTGAGTAGCACTCCCTCTAAATACACCTATGATTCCACACGTGGTGGAAAATTCTATGACACATTTGCCTGTAGGCCAATACTATTTAACTGATAATTAAGGTATGTGCTTAAGCTAATTGGCTAAGTATGCTTTTAACGCAAAAGAAAAAACATGTTATAGTGATAAAATCTGTCACTTGAAGGAATCCATGTCTTTCACAATAGTTCCTTGTGACATGTGTAGTTAAGATTCTATTTTTGTACTGTTCTTTGCATATGAACGAATATTGGTTCCAAGAACTCCAAAAATTTACGTCAGTTCTTATTTAAAGAAACACA